AATGTCCATATGCTACTCTCCAACATCACCATCTACCAACTCCAAGTATTGGATTCTTATGTCAAGCCTGGTGATACTGGCATTGCAATTGTTGCTTCTGGGACCACTTGTAATTTGAGTATGGATTGGTCTTATGAATATAATACTTGGCTTTTTCCTGTGGAGATTTCTGATAAAGGCCGTGCTTCTGTTCAGGTACGAGTTTTTTTCCTTATTAGAGTAGTATTTATTGGTTTTGAGCGTGTGGGTTTTGCTTTTTTAGGTTTACAGGGAAGTTTAAGTTGTTAATGGGCAAATGCTTTTCTTGAGTGCATTGAAGTGGGTTTTGTTTTATGTCATGCGGTTGTGTTTAGGGGTGGACTTTAGTTGCTATTTTGTGTTGATTGAGTTGCAATAATTGCTCATGGAAGGAAGGCAATTAGATTATGAATTGGAATCATTGTAAGAGTTTCTCATTGAGTGTTCTTGCACAAATGTGGTTGTTGTTTATCATGTCGTTTTTCTTAATTGATTTGACTTTTTTGGACCTGGTAAAGGTATACAGCTTAGGGAGTTCAAAGTTTAGTTGAATGCCATTTATTTAATGTGTTGAAGCGGGGCTTAATCCTGATTAGCGTTGTCGGCGTTAAATACAATTCAAGTTTGACTATGTTGTACACCAATACTTCGGCAGCTAGGCTAGTGTGTTAAGATATTTTGACAAGGCTAATATGTTTGAACTCATGATTGTTCCTAAACTTTCTCTTCTTTTTTTCTTTAAACGTTTATATAACTTGAGGTATACATGGATGTCAAAAGGTATAATGTTTTTGTATGTGAGCTGGATAATTGTCTGCTTCCTCTGTGTTTGTCTGCTTATATTTTGTCGCTTAGATAACAAAGGGAAATTGATCAGTGCTGCTTCTGGGTAAGGTTGAAGGCATGGAAGTGGGGCTCACACTAGGCCTGAAGAACCAGGAGGGAACTCTGAAGCTCTCCCTTATGGACTGTGGCTGTTATGTTAAAGATATATCTATAAAATTGGATGGAGGAGCATCTTGGCTTTATCAAGGGTAGGCTCTTCTTTACAGGAAACTCCCATTTGATTGCGAAGCACCATGCTACCTCAAATCTAATTTGTTGCTTCCAAATTCTGTTAATGCTTGGCTGAGCTTTTTGTGTTTTGCATACTATATGCCAGCATTTACCATTTTCTTTGTCCAATAACCTATTTCTAGATCTGATGTTTTGCTTCTTCCAGTACATTCCAAAGATCAGATAATATTTTGAGATAAATAACGCACACCATTTTAGCTCCTGACCTTCCTTTTTTTCCACAAAATCTACCAATTAGCAAATTTAATCGAAAGGTACTACCTGTGTTAACCCTTGTCTAGTCCCTGACCTTTATGAGGTGAAAGCCCTATTCCTAGGTTCCTCAACCCCCATTAGTTGAAGGTAGAGAAGGGGAGAAACTCAGTCTCCATGAAGTTACCTGATGACGATCCTTAGGATCAAAGTGTTATATCTCATGTAGACTAATACCTTTTGTTCTCATATTCCAGGATGATAGATGCATTTGAAGAGCAAATAGGGTCTGCAGTGGAAAATGCTATTACCAAGAATCTTGGAGAAGGAATTTTAAAGCTTGATTTGTTTCTGCAATCTCTTCCGAAAGAAATTCCAGTAGATGATGATGCTTCAATAAATGTAACTTTTGTGGACAACCCTTCACTGAGTAATTCTTCTGTTGGGTTTGACATCAACGGGTTATTCACAGCAAGGAAAAAGATTCCAATCCCCATGTATTACTATGAAAATACACTGCCTTCGGTTTTGTGCACTGAACCAACTAAAATGCTTGGAATTTCTCTGGATGAGGCTGTTTTCAATTCTGCTTCAGCCTTATATTATGATGTAAGTTTCAAATCTGTTATATTTTATCTGTTGTGATCTGAATCTGAATCCTATGTTAACGCTGTAGAGCCAAAAGTGTGTTGACACTGACCATTGGAATTCTCAGTTGCTTCTGCTTCTTCTCAAGTTAGTTTTATTCGCTGAACCTGTTGTATTTGAGGACATTTAGGATTGATTCATGAAGAGGGTAATTGAGTGTCATTTAACCTACATCATATTGGAGTAGATGATCCTACTTTCATCAGTACTGAATCCAATCAACTCATATTTGATGGACTTACGCTCCAAAATTCAAAACTTTTGGTGGTAATTTTGGAAGAACTGAGCTGGGATTTTGGTGAAGCTATGTGATTAGTATGGTATACATTCATATCCTTTACTGGCTTGACTTAGATTTTAATATCTGTATTTTTCTTTGGCCAGGCAAAATTTATGCAATGGATTGTGGATAAAATACCAGATCAGTCTCTTCTAAACACCGCTGGATGGAGATTTATTGTTCCTCAATTGTACAAGAAATACCCAAATGATGACATGAATATGAATCTCTCTTTGTCATCTCCTCCTATCTTAAGGATCTCTGAACACAATCTCGATGCAACCGTTTACGCAGACTTGATAATTGATGTATTGGAAGCAGACCAAGTGATACCAGTTGCATGCATTTCACTGGTAAGTTGGTTCAGTGGAGATATAGAAACGTTCTACAATCTTAATCACTGTTTGCTTTATATTTGTGCTGGACCTTATTCTGTTCTTTTATTTCTTATTTTTTATCAAGAATTATGACTCGTTGGTGTAACAATTAATCTGTCACATTTGACGTTGGTGGCCTGTGGGAAACATTATCAAATCCTAGCATATTGTCTCAAGTAATTTATTATGGATGGTGACCGAATAGCATGGCCCCACTGCTTCTACCAAATGTTTTCTACATGCATATACTATGACACTGTGTTTCACCACTGCCCAAGTTTGAAACATGATGTACTTTTTTAATCTACTTGTTTGTACTCATAGATTATGTTCTGTTATACTTGGATGAAAAACTATAGCAAATAGTATGATACCGGTACTTTCACTGTATTGCAATTGGGTTTATGATCTTGAGAAAATTATTACAGCTGTCGTTGCATCACTTGCTGGAAGCATAGAAAAATTCTTGTTACACATTTGTTCAATGGCAATATGCAATAGTAAACCTTCCTGTCTCTATCACATCAATTCAGCTCATACCTTTGTTCCCAGTGCATTTGTTTTCCTTAAAAGCATCTACATCCTACCCTTTCCAAACTCCATATCTGTGCAACTTAAAAGCTATTCATGACAATTAACTATTATTATTTCCTGTAATATTTGAGGGAAGATCTCACTATCCTTTTAATGGTTAGCATTGCCCTTTTGCTTCATGTTCACACAGGTGATTCGTGGATCAGGTTCAGTTGGAATTGCAGGCAACAACCTTGTTGGCAGCGTGAAATTGAATGACTTTTCCATGTCATTAAAGTGGAGCAATATTGGCAATCTTCGGATGTATCTTATTCAGGTAGTTTGTTCTAAAAGGCCTTTTCTTTAAAGAACAATATTTTTTCTTGTTATTTTTGGTAAAATGTTTAATATTCTTTTCCCATTGCAGCCGCTTATGTGGACGCTTATCCAAACTGTTTTCGTGCCGCATGCAAATGCACATTTAGCAAAAGGATTCCCCTTGCCCATTATTCATGGTTTCACTGTTCAGAATGCTGAAATTATCTTCTCGAGATCAAAAATTACAGTTTGTGGCGATGTGGCGTTCAGAGAGTCCTTGAGTATCAAGTAGGCTTCTGGGCTACTCTAGCCGAACTCATTTATGTTTACACTCAAGCTCCATCAAAGCAAGTATACACCCTTTGTATAATGTTCATGTAAAGCTCGGGGCGCGTTCCCCACAGAAATGCACAAATTGTGCCATAACATAGAGGATCCATAGGTGTGAGGTGTTGTGATTTTGATGCTATCGCATTCTTTTCAGTGACTTGCACATTGCATACTAATAAAGTTGATTGTATATAATCCGAGTCGATTTTCAGCTGATTATCTGTCTTATTTAAGTTCAATGACTAAGAGAACTGATAAATTCCGAGATTCCTCGTATTTTTCCTGAATTGATTGTTCACTCTCGAGGAATTTCATGATTTTAAACCGCAAAAAATGATTTTCTATGATAAATGGATGTACATCTAGGAGGATTTCTTTTTTTGTGTTTTAAAAAATAATAATTTTATTTTGATTTTTTTAATTATTTTAATGTACAGATACTAAAAATTAACTTAAACATATATATTATTTTAATATATTTTTAAATAAAATATATTTTAAAAAACAACCTATTAATTTTTTAAAATTATTACACACAATCAAGTCGAGGAACAAAATATATGGAAGGACTCAAATTTCATCGCAGGCTCGAACCTAAACCCTAGTGACTCAAATACCTGGTCGTCGTCTTCTTATAAGTAGGTGAATAGCACATTCAGGCATTGGTCTTTTTTTTTTTTTTTTTTCTACGGACTTGTCATTTTACTATATGCTCCCGCCAAGAAATGTGTCATTTTGTCACGTTATATGAGAATTACGTAAACAAATCAGCGAAAAGCTTTAAAAAAAAACAAAATCCAAACCCTAATTTTATCCCAGAATTTTCATGAGGCTTGATTTCCCTGGATTTTTTTTTTTGGGGGTGAAAAATTCGAATTTATTTATTTCTAAAGTTTGTTTTTCTTAACTTTTATGTGTTAATTTAGTGTGCTCTAGGGAGCCAAAACTTGATAATAGTAGCACAGAAACTTAAATATCTTATTCTTGTTTATTTTTGTATTTTAAAAGGTCAAATTTTTTTCTTTGTTTTATTTTTTTTGATGTTTTAAAATTATTTTAATATATTATGTTAAAAAATAAAAATAAATATTATTTTAATATATTTTTAGATAATTTAAAAAAAACAATAAAATAAAAACTCGCTCTGAAAAAACCAGATAGAACAGCACATTCCTTCACAAAAATATAAATAAAATGACAGCCTACAATAATTGTTTTTTTATAAAAATAGAAAGGGTATAGCGTGAAAACGCGCAACTTATCTTCCATGAAGCGAGGACTGGTGTTAGAAATTCAACGACACAACCTCAGGAGGTGGTCTGAAGATTGAACCAACCACTCATCCAAAGCCTTTCTAAAACCCTTTCTTTCTTTATGCGGTCTTCTTGGCCTCAAAATGCAAATCTCTAGCCCTTTATTCTCATCACCTCACAATGCTAAAATCCCGTCACTTTTCCCTTTTCAGCACCTCCCCAGTATTTTCCATGGAAAAGGAAAACCCACAACATTAACAACCCGTAATTTTCATTTCCTCCCTCTCAAAATTAAAAACAAGCCCTTCATCGTCAAAGCCTCCAGCTTTTTATCAGAAATCGGGCGTGCTATTGAGGAAGAAGAAGACTACAGAAAGGCCCGTGCTGCTGTTATCCGTAAAGGAATTGACTTGGGAGGGTATGCAATTGAGGGTCTGTCCATTGGAGGCCAAGAGACTTGTATAATTATACCTGAGTTTAAGTGTGCTTTTGATATTGGGAGGTGCCCCACCAGAGCTATTCACCAGAATTTTGTCTTCATCACTCATGCCCATCTTGATCACATTGTTGGTTTTTTCTCTACTACTCATGTTTTCGGCATCCTTTGTTTTTGTGAAGAAAGAAAAAAAAAACATGTTCTAAGACTTGTGGGTTATGCTTGGTCTTTGTCAGAATTGAATATGGATGTTCTGTAATATGGTGACATCAAGCTAACCACTGTCTGTTGTGTGTTATATATGGTGAAGTTATGAGAGGATGTGCTGAAACCATGATCTGGCAAGTTTATTATTATTGATTAGAAACTGGATGTGAGGTTGGAGTGGAATCTGGAAGAAAGTTAAGTTCTTTTTTCAGTAATAACAACTGAAGGAGATTTCTAGTTATTATCTAGATTGATAAACTATATAATTTTGCAAAAACCATATTGTTTTGACACTTAAACACGTGTATTGCTATGATTGTCATTGTTTACTGTTTTATTATATTTTAGACTCTGTTTCACTTTTGGCCTTGAATGTTGTCATGAGCTCATTTCACATTTACTGACACAGGGTGGGCTGCCAATGTATGTGGCTAGTCGTGGTTTGTACAGCTTAAAGCCTCCAACAATATTTGTCCCTCCGTGTATCAAAGACGATGTTGAGAAACTATTTGACATTCACAGGGCAATGGGGCAAGTAGAGCTTAATTTTGATTTGATTGCATTGGATGTGGGTATGCCCCTTTAGCTTGCTAGATTTGTCTATGTATACAATCTGTTAGTGTTTATGCTGAACACAACTCACAAGTTCAAGTTCAGGTGAAACATATGAATTGCGGAATGATGTTGTGGTCCGGCCATTCAGAACTCAACATGTTATACCCAGTCAGGTGTGTTTCATCATTTTGTTTCTTCTCTTCATATCTTCTTCTTCAAAAAAGTCTAAAAGCTACAAGAAAAGAAATATAATTATGACTCACGATTGGTCAGACCGCCAAAGATGTACCAGTTTTTGTAGAGAATTATTTCAGGGAAGTAGCAGAAATCTTGATCTAAAAGACCATGTGTTCCGAGTCCAGCATAGTGCTTGGAAAACTGATGCTATGTTTGAGGCTGGGATTAGATTATTATTTGGATATGATGTTTGAAATCTTGAGACTGTTCATCTCTTAAGTGTATGAAATCACTCGGTTTTATCCAGGGTTATGTCATCTATTCGGTGAGGAAAAAATTGAAGAAACAATACATTCATCTCAAAGGAAAACAAATAGAGAAATTGAAGAAGTCTGGTGTTGAGGTTTGCAATTTCTGCAGCATAGTCTTGGTAGCAAATTTTAGTAACTGAATGCTCATTTTAGCTTGCATTTTTAATTAGATTACAGACATAATATTGTCCCCTGAGGTGGCCTTTACTGGAGATACCACAGCAGAGTACATGCTTGATCCGCGTAATGCAGATGCGTTGAGGGCAAAAGTTCTAATAACTGAGGTATAGATTAAAGTATCTCTTACCTTGTAGAATCATTTTCTGGTTATTCTTAATATGCAAGGTGTGTGGTTTCTTATGAACATGGAATAGCCAACTTTATCCTCGGAAATATTTCTTTTCCAATGATCATTCTGAAATCATGGCATCTATTCAAGGAGTTGGAGTTATTACTGCTGTTTATGCTCTTCTTTTTTCTTGAACAATTTCAGAATCCAAATTAATTTTCGTTATCCAGAATCAGTTGAAGTCTTAAAGCTAATGTCTTTCAGGCAACTTTCCTGGATGAAGATTTTACCACTGAGCATGCACGACAGCGTGGCCATACCCATCTGTTTGAGGTATAAGAATGTTGATTCTCCCATCGTGATTTCACAGTTACCATGGATTATCTTTGGTCAATGACCGTACAAAATGTTTTCCATTCATTATTGCAATTCTGAGATAGGATTCTGTTAACACCGCAGATTATTGAAAATGCCAAATGGATCCGGAGCAAAGCAATCTTGTTGACTCATTTCTCCTCCCGCTACAGTATAGAGGTGAGAATAGAAATGAACCAAGCCATATAATGGTTTTTTGTTACCTTTATCCCAGTAACCTAGTGGGACACTGTGCGTATGACTAAAATAAATAGATGGATCAAAATACAAGATGATGGGAATTGTGCTATCCTTGCAATTAGGATTGCAGGTCTCTTTTATGAGAAATCTTAGCAAAATTGGTTAAATTGATAATTTACAACTCTACTCGGGTTAGCTGCTCTGTATTTGGAAAAATCTTCCATGCCCAAAAACATACCTGATTAATCAGATGGTCCTAATTTAACTGATGATGGATGTTCAGTTCCAGGTGCAAAGATCACTTGAATCACCCCAAAACTACCCACCTTCTGAAAGAATGTTACAAATAGGGACACTTGTTTTTTCATCATTTTCCTTTCCTGTGCCTTTTCCTCTGAATTATCGTATCAGATGCATGGAGGAACCTTGGTTCATCAGCAACTGAATCTATTCTAAATGGATTCTGCTAATTTCAGGACATACGTGAAGCTGTGTTGAAGTTGCAATCCAGGGTGTCAGCAAAAGTAGTTCCTCTGACAGAAGGTTTCAAATCAATGTACTCATAGTGGATACGAAATTGTAGAAAAATTTGCTAGTCTTTGTAATTTATTTGTTAAATAGTGAGTTCTTTTTAATCAGGAACTTGAAATGTGACCTTATGATGATTCAGAGAGAACTAATCTGTACTTATCCACTCATTGGAACCAATTAAATTGGTGGTTATGAGTGCAACATCAGGCGTCTTGAAATCTGGGCGCCTGAGGGCTAGATAACGAAGTGCTTGGGCGGGAATTGATTATAAGAAATGTATAAACATATTTTTTTAAAATTTATTTTTGATATTAATATATTAAAATTATTTAAAAATAAATAAAATTTTGCTAGATTATACCACCGCGCTAAACAGGGTATAAACAAAACCACCCCCAGTATAAGCATATTAAAGATGATGCCCGCCTCTTCATTTCATCGGCTCCATATCCAGAAACTGCAAATGATGCAGATTTAGTTAGCACTTGGAAAAACGTACCTTCATGTCAGCTGTTCAGATGCCAAATCAAGAGCACAGAACCAATCAATCTGTTTTATAACACGGAGGTGAAAAGTAGAGATGCATTGGCTCACAACAAAGGCATAAAATTGTTTTTGAGGATGGGATCTGGTTTATCGAGGTTAAGAGTGCATTTCCCTGAAGCATCCACAGAACCTTATGCTGCGATTGAAAAATCTCTTACCTATAAAATTAATGAGCCGAATGATTTTGTTGTTGCAGTGTAAGCGGAGTATGTTATGGATATGGCCACCCAAACAGGCAAACCTCCTATATCAATTCAAAAATTTAAATTATTTTAAAAATTAATTTAACAAAAATTTAAATTATTTTAAAAATTAAAGTTAAATTAAATTTGTTAAATAAAGTTTTAAAATATAATTTATATTATATATATCACTTCAGTTAAAACTTTTTAAATTTAAAATTTATAAAAACTCATACTATCTTCTAATATTAATTGGATTTTAATTAGAAGAGAAAACGAGAGCGATGATATTCCAATTCATTACTATTTAGTTATTAAAACTTTAATATTATATCAAAGAATCATCTTAACTTAAAAATTTAAACTGTTAAATAAAATTTTAAAATATAATTTATATTAATTTTTAATATTCATCTACTTTTTTTCTTTTAAGTTTTCGTAGCTCATTCAATATAAAATCACATGAGAGCAAACACTCTTTACTTCTCAATCATTTTTTTTTAAATAATTTTAAAATATAAAATAAATAGTTTCTATAAATCAATATTTTTATGGTAGAGATATTTCAACAGGTAATCAATAAAAATAATTGATTTAATAGTAGTTTTAACTTTTTTTTGTTATAAGACCCACACAAAAAATATATTTTTGTTTTTATACTTTTAAAAATATAATTTATACTTAAAAAAAATTATATCTTAAAAAAAAACCACTACCACACCTTTTATCCAATTCAAAAATTTAAATTATTTTAAAAATAAAAATTAAATTAAAGTTATTAAATGAAGTTTTCAAATATAATTTATATTATATATATCATTTCAGTTAAAATTTTTCAAATTTAAAACTGGTAAAAACTCACACTATCTTATAATATTGATTGAATTTTAATTAGAAGAGAAAATAAGAGTGATGATATTCGAATTTATTACTATTTAATTATCAAAACTTTAATATTATATCAAAAAACCATCTCAACCTAAAAATTTAAATTATTAAATAAAATTTTAAAATATAATTTATATTATTTTTTAACATCCATCTACTTTTTTTTTCATAACTCATTCAATATAAAATCACATGGGGGAAAACACTCTCTACTTCTCAATTATTTCTTAAAAATAATTTTAAAATACAAAATAAATAATTTCTATAAATCAACACTTTTATGATAAAGATATTTCAGCGATAACCAATAAAAATAATTGATTTGATGGTAGTTTTAACTTTTTTTTTATAAGACCATACAAAAAACATGTTTTTGTTTTTATCTTTTTTAAAATATAATTTATATTTTTAAAAAATTATATCTTAAAAACAAAAACCACCACCACACCTTTTATCCAAGGACACTCAAATGAGCAAGCAGGCCATATAAAATACTTGCATGGTGTATAGCTAAAATTGCGAAAATGGCTTTAGTAGCACCAGCAGCTCCTAGTAGATGACAAATAGCACCCTGAAGTTGATAGTAATCACAAACACAGCCATCACGAGAACTGGCATTTGGTAAGAACCAAGAGATCATGCCTCAATCAAGGATGAGATGGAATTCCCTTTCTTCCCGGGACCATAGTAAAAGACTAATGTTTTTTTTAGTTATTTTTGTATAATGATCCTTTTTGTTATCTAGAAGGAAAGTAAAATGAATTCCTTCGTTAGAAATAGTTGGATTGAGATGTCTAAGATGTTTTCTTTTAACAATAGCTAAAAATATAGTCTTATAAATAAAGTTGATAAATTATAATTTTCTAATCATTAAAAAAATATAAAAAATAGAATTATATTACCTTTTGTTTTTTACTTAGTATTTGTTTTGCTTAAAGGCTTTACAAGTGGATTTAAAAACAAATATATCATAAAAATAAAATATATATATTTATTTTTTTAATATAGAATAAAAAAATAATACACACCCTTCAAGATAAATATTCTTTTTAGTTGAGTTTGGAATTGATATATTAAATTACATATTTAGTATGGTTATGATTATTTTTTAAAATATTTTTTATGTAAAAATATATTAAAATAATTTAAAATATTAAAATATTTTTTTATAAAAAAATAAATTTTAAAAAATCACGGTGACCAACAGCTTTAAAGTCAGCGCAGACCCACCACTTGATCTGGGCCCGCATCTTCATCTATTTTATTATGTTGAGCTACATTGCAGTTATCAATAGTTTGAAGAGCATTTAATTAATTTATTTATTTAAAAAAAAACAGCAGTTGTCCTGCAAAGTCTTGGGACCAAACAAGCTCTCATGTAAATCACGGTTTCAAATATGTTTAAGCACGTTTTGAGACGTGATTGCTTTAATATCAACTGTTTTCCCCTTTCTTTTCTTCCAATCTCAATTCTCAACCAAACAGTCCCTAAGCTCGAAAAGGTAACGTGATTGGAACTCGAATCCAATTGCGTAACGGCTATGGTTAGTAAATATTTGATGATGATGCTGTTGTGGGCCCCCCGCTTGCTTGACCGGTCCACAATGGAAAAAAAAACGGAAAGGTCACGTGAGAGCCCATGTGATTGTAAAGGAAGAAGTGACTGGACTGGACTCCTGCAGTGTTGTTCATCACAAGGGCATCCTCAGAAAAATAGCGAATAAAAATCGTGTGTGCTGCGTCTTAAAACCATTAATATCGAGAAAAATAAACGTTAAAGAAAAATGTTGAAAGAGAAGAGAAATAGCAGGGAGGTAAAATAAAATAAAATAAAATTATACTGGTCACTGACCAGGCCAGAGAGACCAGGCATGATCACCTAGGCCTAGCAACCAGTAGGTCTGATCACCTGGGAAAGCACTGACGCCTCGTCGCCTAGGCTTGGTCCATGGGGAGCAAGAGGGCTGTTTGCACTTCGACCCAAACAACCCAAAAGTTTTTTCTTTCTCTTTTTCTATATATATATATATATATAATATTTAACCTTCCATGTTAAAAACAAGATTATCAATTTTGTTTTGTTTTGTTTAAAATAACTAAAATATTTTATACTAATTTAATAAATAATAAAATAAAATAATTTTTATTTTATTTTAACTCTGGATTCATTTTAGATTTTTTAATTAAATTTTAATGAAAATATTCCGATTTTATTCCACATGTTTTTTTTCATTACTATTTTTATTAATAATGATATTAATCATAATATTAAAAATTATAATTATTTTTTTCATTAACAATGATATTAATTTTTTAAAATTAGATTTATCACTAATATATATAATTTATATTTATGTTGTTTTTTTCATGTTTATATTTTATGGGAATTTGAGCAAAATAAATGATATTTTAAATTCTATTAACCTTAATAACATTAATATAATTTTATATTTAAAATATTTATGTTAAAATATTTTATTTCTATAATATTTTATGGTTTATTTAAGTTGAACTACTTTAAGTTAAAAATTTATTTAACCTTTACTATTTAAAAATATTTTAAATTTTAAAATTATATTTATTTAAAATCGTATTTATATTACATAATTTATAACTAATTTATTTTAAATTTGAATTATATATATACAACTTCAATGCAATACATTGAATTGCTTTAAAAATAAAATATTTTATTCTAATTAAAAAATAAAATATCTACAAAACAAAATCAAAAACTTTATATTAAACAAAATCCAAATGCATCAAACCTCGGTGAACAAGGTGATTTTTTTTTTTTTTCAAAAACCAACGACAATCCTCTCAAGATCTCCAAATTTAATGAATATTCTCCTTAACATATAGTCGTACTCGCTCTGGCTTCGTTGCATTACTGCTGACACACCCTGCCTGTCCCTAGCAAGAAAGTAACCAGAAAAAAACAGTGTAAATACTCTTTCGTATAAATACTCTCTCATTTTCCATTTAAAACAAATAGTTTCCTCTGTCTCGTTCTCAATCACGCCCGCCCAGACCCGTACCGAAAACTCTTCTATCGGTTCCGTTAAATAAACACCTATCATCATCATCATAATCATCAATCCCATCTTTTTTGGCGATTTAATAAATAATATTACTTATTGGATTGGATGATGATGATGAGGAAGAGGGAGCGAGAAAACCCCTGCGGGGTATGCGGTCACTACCACAAGTACGAAGAGGGTGAGGTTTGCGGGATTTGCGGCCACCGTATGCCTGAATCCACCGCCGATAAGTCTCCCTCTGTTCACCTCAGCGCTTTTCCTTCTCAGATCCTCCCCGACTTCCTTTTCTTAGGCAGCTACGACAACGCCTCTCGATCCGAGCTCCTCAAAACCCAAGGAATTACTCGTGTGCTCAATGTAATTGATATTTTTTTTTTTGCGTTGAATACTGAGAACAAATTGATAGGTTTTTTGTTTTGTAGAAAAATGGCTCGGTTATCTTACGTTGGCTTTAAATTCTTATGGTTTAGGGTTTGATTGGGATTTCTTAGTGTTCGTTTCTCATAAAAGCATCGAAGGTTGAATAATACAGCTTCTTAGAAAGTAGTTAGTATGAGATTTAAGGAAAAAAAAGTTTAGCTTTAATTGAAATTAAACTGATTTAGTTCTTTGCAGGGTTACAGTATCTTCTATTTCGTTGGTTTCAATTAATTGACTCTTTAATTTCATGGTTGCCTGTTATTTATGTCACCAGCAACAGCTTAGTAGAGACCAGGAATAATAAGAGATCTGATTTATTCTTAGGTTTTGTCTATTTGCAGACAGTTCCTGCGTGTCAAAATCTCTACAAGAATTCATTCACCTATCACTGCCTCCAAGATGACAAGATCTTACAATTTGACGATGCCATTCAGTTTTTAGGTGAGTCAGATTTGATGAATTATCAATTGGCAGGCGTTACTTTCACTATTTCTTCAAGTTCTTGACGGTCTTTATGTCAGTTAGATTTGATGAATTATCAATAGGTATGTGTTACTTTCACTGTTTCATCAAGTTTTTGACTTGACCACACAAGAACTGGAAAGTGCTCTTTTTTCGTTGTGCTGTTGAGAAGTTGCACTGTTGAATGCTTTAGAAGGCTTATGCCACGTGCATCTGCTGTTACTTCTGTTTACATATGGTTGTGAAATTATTTAGAGGTCGTATCAATCCTCTGCTTTACTCCATTTCGACCTTGGATAAGCATCTGTGTCTCTAAATGCTAAATCAAGTTTTCTTTGATTTCTTAACTTAAATGATCAACTATCTCGCTAGTTCAACTTATGGTTCTGATCATGGTAGGGTTTGTTCAGAATGCACCTTTTTTTATGAGGGCCAATGTCTATTGTTCTATCACCTCTTAGAATAATGAGGGGGGAAATATCTTGGCTGGTGGTGTTGTATAGGTACTTGCTTAGAGGAAGAAAATCTTCCGTGTTGTATTCCAATAAGATGAACTGTAACCATGACGCGTTGACAAAATTGTAGCCCTGAAGCTTGAAATCATGTTTCTTCTGATTGGAGAATTCACTTATGGAAGTATTTATTTTTTTGAATAATTGGCTCACGGTCAACCATTAAGTGATAATCAATCAATAGGTTGGTTGTTAGATTTGATAAATTGCAATTTGGGCAGACTTTATCAGGATTTGTTACATACTGCAATCCTTTATTTTTCCATCACGGATAGAGTGTAAAGTAACGTATGCTTGTTTTTTGCAGAGCAATGTGAGAGGGACAAGGCTCGCGTTCTTGTCCATTGCATGTCAGGAAAAAATAGGTTAAGTGTTTCTGCCAAATATGGTGGTCATCTTTATTCTCCTTTTATTTTGGGAATAGTGTAACCTATGTGTCTATTGGGACTCACTCTGTGCTATTTCATATCACATCTTGGGGCCATTGTTACTTGTTAGTTCTTGGCACGTGTTTTAGGGTTCAGCAATGTATTTTATTGACTTGTTTATGGAAATTATATAACCTTGTTCTTCTGACAGGTCTCCAGCTATTGTAATGGCTTACTTGATGAAGTCCAGAGGATGGAGACTTGCTCAATGTTACCAGTGGGTGAAAGAGCGGAGACCATCTGTTGATCTAACTCAAGGTATGTTCACCTTGATGCTGATTTGCTTATAGGGCAAGCAATTGCTTTTGTGGTCAATATTATACATTCTGTGTTTCTATTTGTTAAAGCAATCAAGAATCCTTCTACTGAGTTTAGAACTGCAGTATTTATTCAAGTCTACAGAAAGTGCTACCTCATGCTATGAAAATTTTCGACTTTTACCGGGTCTCATTCCCCTTTTTCCTGGTAAAAGATCATCATACGAAAGTTGATTGATGAGCTCAAATAATTTTCTCAGGCAGCACACAAATTTTTTCTGGTCTCGAGACCTTGATGTATTGGACCCATTGGCCTATGCATTTTATCTGAGATCCTTTTGTTTCCCAGGAGAGAAGTTATCCCATGTCTGACTATCACTTTTGTATGTGGGTTTTAGCCGTGCACCAGCAGTTGCATGAGTATGAACAGAAGCTTTTCGGGTCAAATGATAATATCAACCCTGCCCTGCCAGTCTTCCCTCCTGTAGGTGCGCCATCTTTTAGCTTTGGCTTCCCAAAGGCTAATGATCCAGTTCCTGTCCCAGCGTTCTTTGGTGTTGGTGCTCCCTCTATCTTCACACGTCCTCTAGAAGTTCCTCCACAAGAGTTCCAGTTTGGAGCTGGTCATCCCCAGAACATATCAGAAAGCTCCCTTGGCACCAATTTGCCGAACCCGAATGGTGGGGATGTTTCAATGGATTCATGAATTTCAATGCCCTCCCTGATGAATGAGCCTGCAAGTTTAGCAATGACTAGAAGCTAAATGATCATTAAGTGAGCTTGCAATAGTGCAAGTTACAGGAAGTTCAAACTGAAAACTATACTTTTGGTTTGGATTTGGCGTGTGCCTTGGTTTATTCACAAGTTTATACAAGAGTGTTAATTCCAAGAGTAGAGTTTTTGTCATCTCCACAAAAGGTGTATGGGTGCACAAATTGTGTTATCTCAGCGGCTTCTTGCAGCGTTTTTTCCACTGCCGAAGAAAGGAGTAACCTTCCCTTGATCGACTTCTAGTGATGGGAATTTATCACTGGTCAATAGCTCATCCATAGCTTTTGCATTTAGTGGCGAGGATGAGCGCGTGCGGGTGCGTGTATTCTGAACATTGAAGATAGAGTATCATCTAAAAGTAGTAGAACAAAAATGATATAACTATATTTTTTAATTTTCAATTACTATTAATGAAAATGTTCACAAAATATGAATTTTACTCTAATTTAATTTAGCTTAGTTCTTGTCGTTTGATATTAAGCAACACGTGAATTCTTGATTCAGTCAACACTTGACCAACAGTTTGAAAGGATATATAAAAATCTCTTTAATTTTAATTAGAAAAAAAATAGAAAATAGCTTTGTTATCTAATGAAAAAAAAAAAAAAGTCAACTTGGAGATTTCCAATTGAAATCTTAAAAAAATTTAAATGAAGATGAAAGAAGACAATTCGGTGAAAGATCCATAAAATCGTTCCAGCATTAAGTTCTGGCCTCGGTAACTTCCATGGGGGCTTTATTCACAATTTATGTCGCTTGGAAATCCAGAGTACAATCCTGGAGGTAATTTTGATACACACAACACACAAATTTATACAGGGTATCCCCAACAATCTGGGTTTATTCAGTATCATTCTTCTTGCACAGATCCACACTTATTTGACTTCTAGGCCATGCATGCTTCAAGGGTTGACTTGGCAAGCCACAGCAAGCCTGGATCATTCCGCTTCAGCACTAGGTAAGTATCAGCCTTCCCAGTTTCATCATAACTAACTTCCTCACTGAATCCAACCACATGAACAATTTCCACCGCAGCTGTAAATCATGAGAAACAGACAACCAACAAATAAATGTCAGCGAAGATGACTCTCTCCAACGTTATCTATCCATCCATGTGCACATTGTAAGAAAGAAACAAACCTTGGTGACTGGCAACATTTTTCTGGATTATGGGATTAGCCTAAAATGTACAACAAATAGTGATCAAGGGATTAGACAAAGGAACCAAAGCAAAATTCAAAGAATTATCGGGAAAGACATTTGGGTAACACTGAATGAACCTTTCTGAGTCTTTTGAATTTCGACTGATCTGGGTGTTCGATCACATTCCTGCCAGAAGTTAAAACTGATTTCAGCCTTTATTACGACATAAAGATAAAACAATAATCATGATGGAAATGGAAAATCAGTGAATCAAAAGTGTTCTATGATCATGCAAGTTGACTCATAGCTATACTACTGTGCAGGTATGTAACAAATAAGGATAAAGCGTAATGCGATATACCTACGGTCCTAACTGTACAAAAGAGAACAACCAAATAAAAATACCTAATTATCTTAAGAAGAGTTTGCAAAGCTGCTGTTGCTTCTGTGGACTTCAATTCAGCTCTCAGTGTCTCAGTAGCCTTCTGTAGGCGGCTGCAGATAACACTAACAGGATCTTGGATTCTCCGTAGTTCTTCATCATCTGGATCTGGTTCATCAATTTGCATCCTAGATACTTCATGTGACACTGCTAAATCATCATCGGGATTGGGCTCAGCCTGAACAACCTTATTTGTTTCAGATTCATCAGGATCAGGTTCTTTATAAGCTTTTTTTAGATGGAACTGGTCTTCAATGCTTCCGGTTACTAGAGAATCATCAGGATCAGGTTCATCAATGGTTTTGTCAGGGCGAATATCTCCATTCAGGATGTCCATCACCTCATGGTAATTACCTTGAGAATCATCAGGATCAGGTTCGTCAATGGTTTTGTCAGGGCAAGTCCCACCATTCAGGATGTCCATCGCCTCATGCTGATTACCTTGAGAATCATCAGGATCAGGTTCATCAATGGTTTTGTCAGGGCAAAGGCAAATCCCACCATTCAGGATGTCCATCACCACATGGTGATTACCTTGAGAATCATCAGGATCAGGTTCATCAACGGTTTTGTCAGGGTAAATCCCAATATCTAGGATGTCCATTGCCTCATGGTGATTACCTTGAGAATCATCAGGATCAGGTTCATCAATGTTTTTGTCAGGGCGAATCCCACCATTCAAGAGGTCCATCACCTCATGGTCATTACCTTGAGAATCATCAGGATCAGGTTCGTTCTTGTTTTGATTGAAAGGATGTTCATCAGGAACAGGCTGATGGTGAGGTTTCCACAAAGATTTATCTAGATTTTCAATATCTAACTTTCCTTTTTCTACCTGACCCTTGACATCAGGTTCTTTATGCATGTTAAAAATTGAATCATCTGGGTCAGGTTCTTCATGCACTTCAGAGGCTCCCAAACTGTTGGAAGAGGCATCTGCTAAACGGTGATAAGCAGCAGCCACAGAAGATGCACGGGCACCGGCCAGTTGATTAGACACGTTTCCCCCGAGCTTAACAGAGGAGCTTCTACTGTCTGAAACATAGAAGTCTTCGCTGTACTGGTCTTGATGATTGACTCCACTCAAGGTATGCCCCCTTGATTTAGTCCAATCTAAACTAGCAGCTTCTTGGTTAAGCTGGCCCAAAAAACACACCAATTTTAGACAACAATATGTTGAACTTAACCATTCATCATGCAACAATAATAAACAAGTGTATGGATACACATTTGTACCTGTTTATCCAAAGCATAAAAGTTCGCATCATGTTCTGAGTACAGCATGTGAGCCTGAGATGAAAATAAGAACAAAAATAACTCAATAACAATAATCTCAAAACTCGAGGAAAAACAAATATGATTATAAAGCTTACAAGTTCATGCAGAAGAGTTTTCTTGATGCTTTCATATTTCCTGAAACCCTTGAGGTCATCAGTTCGAAGACGGAGAGATATCTCCTCTCCAAGATCCTGCAATGCCAAAACAGGAGTCAACAAGGAAAGAAGAAACCAAAATGACAAAAGAAAGTAAAACAGTGACACCAGTCAATATATTTTCATACGCTTCGAGGAGGACATTACCTTATTGAAACCAAGAATGCATTTGGGACTCACACCAACATAACCAACTGGGGCCATCTCAGTCATAATTCCTACGCGCCAACGATGCTTTTGGAAATGATCATTCAAAAGTTAATTGTTAGGAATGTTAAGTAATGGTGTTTAATTTGAAAAGATGCATCCAACAGTACCTTGTTCATTATAGCAACAATTCCAGGATCCGCAGCAAGCATATGCATCCTTTTCAAAGCCTCTGAAGCAGGGGGGTTCAGCTGAAGATAAGCAAAAACAAGGGAAATCAATGATAGTTTATTTTTCCATAAAACCAAGTCTTGGAATACCGACAGATTCAGAATGTAATGTTCCGTGCATTCCATATATGCTGTTCTAGTGCACAAGTTCAAACACCTAGCAGCTAGAATCAATAACAAGTCTTTGCTGTTAGAGAAATTCACAGAATCTCTAGGAAAGTACTGGATCATATTTTAATCATGATACTTTCATCTAAAATACTATAACATAGGATATTATGATGCCAAAATTCAGTATAAGTGACACAATTCATTCCTCCTTTGCCTATATTTTATCCATGATATATAATGCATAATTGGAAATCTAATAATTTCTTTAAATTGAAATGCAAAAGTAACTGGCACATTTAAATGCACCTCAACTCCAGGAATTTGAAGTGTGCGAAAATCACAAAAGATATAAGGTCCTTGTGGAAGTTTAAGCAAACCAAAAGGTTTCTCTGACATTCGCTGCCTCATTCTCTTTTCCTCTTCATCAAATCCAGCGATCCTCAGGTCAACCTTGGCATTTTGTAGAACTTTATCAACTTCATCTTCAGACACTCCCAACATTCTGATAAACTTTCCCTGAAATTAAGCACCGACATAATTAGAAGACTTGATACAATAGTTTTGGCATATGCAAAGAAAGTAACCATTAATTAAGCAAAGATGTGATCAGTACTAAATGTTCACTCTAAAGCTTTATTTGCCACCTTATAATTAATTCGCTACATTGCTTGCGACCTTTTTAACAAAATACATTATGATCAGGTCAGTCCTAGATAAAAATACATTATGTACGCAAAATTGTTGTTCAGATAACAAGGCCGATTAGCATGTTCCACCACACAAATGTGGCAAAACCAACCAGGAAAACAGCAGTAAAGTGATAACAGCTATAAACTACATCATATATCATAAATGTATTCTACAAACACCCATTTATTTAAAGACCTATGATTGAAAAGCTAAGCTATATAGGATCAGATTACAAGTAAAATCCATTAAAGCATCAGATTTATAAACTACATTCAGACTGTTTCTTTCACATCCAAACATGTTTAAAGTTCAGTAAAAGCACACTTACAAAATAGCATGTACATGGAAAATTAGTCATATTTGCCCCCCCACAAAAAAAAAAACAGAGAGAGAGAGAGTAGGAGATGATACCTCCATAATGGAAGCTTCTTGCAAGCTGAGCTGTGAGTGTTCATCCGAGAAAGGAAACAGCAGCTTTGAGCTTTTGTTAGAAAATCGCGGAACAATAAGTCTCATGGTATCTGCCCTGATATCTGTCAACTTCTGAAGTTCATCCCCTAGATCCTTGACAGAAGCATCAGTGTTCATTCCCACAATAAATTTGTTCCCCCGCCATATAACTGTTACTTTAAACATAATTTCGGCCATTCTGGTGTTTTGCTGCAGAAAGAAAATTTTAGGTAAGACAGAATCTTCTTAACCATGCATTGCCAACAAATTTTCACGTAAAGTGACATACTTGTTTACGAGTTCCATAAGTGACACTAATTCTTAACCAAAAGTTCATTAAAAACCTCAACCAGACCTAAACTAAGTTCAGTAACCATATAAAAAAAGAAGATAACATGCTGCAGAATTTATAACATAACTGCTTCGACAGAAACAGAAACATAAACATATTCGAACCTAGCGATTATCAAATGGTCAATAATCAAATAAGTGTATAAACAATAGCATAAACAAACAGGAACTAATATCTGAGATTTCGGATTTTCTGCAAGAAACCAACAAAGACACAAAAACACAGAAAGCACTACCTAAAAAACCGGAAAAGCCCACATCAAAATCTCCAACTTCAAAACAATTAAGACTGCCCCACAAGATCTAATTACGAAAAGATACAAAAAAAAGAAGAAGAAGCTACAAACTTTAAATAAAATTTAACCAGGGCTGGCGTGCAAGAAAGCATGGTTGAAATCAGTTCAACATCATTTCCAAAGCTGATAAAACCTTGGTGATTCTTGAAGAAAATGAGGCAATTAGCAGGTATTGAACATAACCCAGATTGGGAATTTAGTAAAAGATTCAATCTTTACCTCTTGGAGTGTATTGTTAGGTGGTGGATTTTCTCTTTCAGCGTTGTAAGCGTTCATAGCCAGATAAAATCAAAAAACAAAAACAATATATATATATATATATAGACGGCGTACGCGTTCACAAGCGAGGATCCTCTTAAAGTAAGCGTCCTCTTATAATTTATTTTTACTTTCTTGCGTATGTGCTGTCGCATGGCATGGTTGGAGAAAAATCCAGAACTATGGGTTTGTTCGAAAACCGAACAATTTGTAATATATATATATATATTGGTATTGCAGAGTAATTTTTAATTAAAAATATATTAAAATGATATTTTTTAAAATTTTATTTTATTATTTTTAATATCATTACATTATAGTCATTAAAAAATAATTGCAAAAAAATTTAATTTGATAGTTTTTCATACAAAAAATAATTTGAAAAGAACTTTAAAAAATAAAAATAAACACAATGGTAAATAAATACTTATTCTTTATTATTATTATTATTATTTTTAAAAATGTTAGATAAATACATGTGGGCCTAGACCAAACCTCAACGTCAAGTATTTTATTTATTTTTGTGAAATAAGCGGATAACGTGTTGTTAGTAACAATTTGTAGACCACTATAAATGATTGAAAAATCAAGGTAAATTTTTTTATTATCTCATAACTTAATTTTTAATATTTTTAATTAAAAAAACCCATTAAGCATTGTAAGAATCTAAATTAGCTGATTTATAATTTTAAAATACTTTTTTATCACACTAAAACTAAAAAATAAAAATAAATTCAAAAAATCTTGACACCCCAACCTATTTTTTATGGAATTTGTAATAGATAAAACTACCACAATAATTTTTATCATAAAAAATAATCTAATTTTTTTTTATCATGATTAATTTTTTTATTTTTTTATGATTGAAATGTAGCTAGTTAAATTCCTTTTCTATTATCTTTATTTGACAACTTTTTCTCATCTCCAGAACTTAAATACTGAAACATGATTAAAATAAAGTTTGAGAATTGAAAGGTAAAACATAAAACTATAGGGACCAAATGTGAAAAAATTTAAAAACTTAAAGGACCAAGTTGTATTTTCACACATCCTAAGAACAATGTAAAAATCACATTATTCCCCTACAATGACGTCCAAAATGCGCTTGAAAGTGGAGAACATGAAATCTCCTTTCTTTTTTTCTATAGTACAAAAAAATTTCAATCAATTTATACATCAATCAATTTTTTTTTCTTTCAAGTCATATTAAATTCCTAAGAACGCACATGATTGTTATTACGTCTACTCCACTATTAAAATAACAATGTACTTCTATCTGTATTAGGAAATCAAGAAAAAAAAAAGCTGAAAAAATAAAATACCCTAAATCATAAAATAATAAAAAATAATTTATATGAATGTAGGTTATAAAAAAGAAATATGATGTATAATATAATATAGTTATTATCCATAAAAAAATTAATAACTAATTCATTTGGATATTTAGATATATATAATCATTTTATATTAAAAGGTTAAGAAATAATATATGTGGATGTAGACTATATATAATTATTTCAATAAAAAAAATATATAATTATTTTAATAAAAAATATAAGAAACAATTTATATTAATATAGGTTATAAAAAAAAGATATTTGAGGCTGAGTATTTATAAAATAATTTTAAATTTTTAGGATTTATTAAAAAATATTTAAAAAAGTTACATCACTAGAATTTCAAGTTAACTTAGTGGATTGCCTGAATTTTTATAATTTAAAACCTGATAAAAAATTTTAAGTAAATCTTTATTGTCAGGAATACGACTTGGTATTCTTCTCAACTTATTTTTTGGTATCATAAATATATATATATATATTTTTTTGAACCTGCAAGATTGGACGGGGCTATAGGAACCACTCAATAGACAGGTTTAGCTAGCAGGATGTAAACACTAGGTAGGTGTTTAATATATTGAATACTTTTTCTTTCTCTGAACTTTAGATATTTAAATTTTTTTCTCGATCAATGAAATTTTATATGAAATGTTGGTAGATTTTCCTATAATAATTTATTTTAAAAATAAAAAACTTGTGAGTTAGTTATCCTGGAATGGAACTGGTGTCCTGTGAATGGGCAGCTTATGAACCGGCTATCCTGGTATGGAACTGATGCCTTATGAATGGACAACTTATGAGCCAGTTATCCTGGTATAAAACTAGTGCTGGTGGTTTAGCTGTGCTGGTATGGAACTATTACTGATAGTCCAGTTGTACTGGTTTGAAACTGAAGTTCTATGATGTGGATAGATTTAAATTTTGGATTATTGATTTGTGAATAGTACTTGAAAAATGACAGCAAATGTGAAAAATTGTAAGTAACTAATATATATATATATATGTTAATGCAAGTGTAAATGCTCTATATTTTTTAAATGATTATGCAGGTTCATCTCAATATCACGTCTCCTAGTAGTTTTAGAGTTTATTTCTTTTACTAGTAAATCTTTTGTGTATGTAAATTATTGATAATAACATTTCTATCTATATATTTTGAAGATTATAATGTTGGGCATGTATGAATTTAAATGGACTAGCTTATTTAACTTGTACTTTTTTATGTAAATATTTTCTAATTATAATGGTGATATATATATATATATATATGCCCGCATGTGGAGGAAAGAAAGCTCGTAATTTTTCAACAAGAAGAAGAAGAATACGATAGAAAGTCGTATAGCAATTTTCAGTAAAATATTTTTATTTCATAGCCAAAATATGAAGTATTCACCCCTAACTTGTATTAAGCCTCGGTGCTATTCTCAGTATACATCAAAGATGGGAACCGTTTAATCTGTTACCTTAAAGACAAAAGTAAGTTCTTAAATTAGCAGTAGGAAGAAATTGAACCATTTTCGATACTAAATATGCAGCTTGTTTTTTTACACATGGGATGAACAGAAGTAGTGTAATTACTGAGTAGCGACTCCATACCCACACATTAAACAAAAGAGTTCTAGACTTCTAGGAATAGAAAAGAAAACAAACTTGTAGGTCCTGCGGGGTGGCTGGTTCCATAAGATTTGAAGCTTGGAAGAAGCCATGATCTCTCTCTTCGTAGTGTGCGTGTGTTTGTATGTGTGTGACAGAGAAGCTTTTGGTCTACTGTATAACATTGTTAACAATTTGGTCGTTCATCTTTGCAAGGCACAAGACGACTTCATGGAAAATGCATGGTAGTTGGATTATCTTTATTGGATATGATACAATATGTCGTGTGTTGAAAGTAAAAACAAAAAATAATAATAATAAACAAACAAAGAGAGAGAAAGAGAGCAAATTTGAAAGCTCCATCATGCAAGCAAAACCTATCATAGATTTGAAAGTTAGTTTGATGATAACTTAATACATTGCTTATAGGTAACATTATTATATTTATATAAATATATATTCTTTATTATTAATAAAAATTTAATTTATTATAAATAGTAAATTATTCTTTTTATTTTTTAGAGGTTGTTTATTAGTTATAAAAACTATAAAAATATATAATTAGAGGTAACACTATAAATATAACAATTACTCTCTTCCAAATAATAGTTTAAAATTTTGTTTATGAATAATTTGTGTAAATTACTATTAGAGACCATGAATGACTTATTAATAACAATTTATCCTTTAAAAAATTATTTAAAATAAAGAAAGATAAGATTCTTAAACAATGCTAAATCTCAATAAGATCTTAAAGACTCTAAAATAATTTTATTTTAGTTGTGTACATGATATTCAAAAATCCTATATTGAATATACTATAAGTTTCATTATTGAATAAATATGATATTGACAAAATTAATTAATACTGGTTTTCAGCATGCATAAACTCGGGCCAGGCAAAGGTTTTAAAAACACTAAGTACTTTCTAATTTGAGTTAAGTCCAATTTGAATTATGGTTTACAATCCTGAATAACATGTTTAAATTATTGTAATTGTTTTTTAAAGTATTTTTTATTCAATTAATTGTTTTTTAAAGTATTTTTTATTTAAGAAAGTATATTAATAATATTTTTTTATTTCTAAAAATTATTTTTGAAATCAGCACATCAAAATAATTAAAAAACATCAAAAACATATTAATTAAAAAAATATAATTTTTTTTCAAAAAGTGATGAAACGGAGTGCCAAACACATCTGATTGCCTGAATTTGCAATATTGAAAATTTGAAATTAATGTGTGTGCATGGAACCTAAAAAACACACTGTATATTTCAGAGTGAAGACTGACCATGAAATTTATCCTAGAAGTTTCACATTCAAAATAACAAGTTCAGCTTAAAACTACTCCATGACTTCAGCCACTTGCTCGACATTTTAAACTTGAACAACAATGTTCGGTAAACTAATCCTCATGATTTTACATGGCTTAGGATAGTGGATGATGCTATCATACTTGGGGTGCAATTTGGAAATTTCCATTCCATCTGTTCTTCCAAGTTGTTTATAATTCTTTCCGAAGGAAACAGAAGTTTTATTACATTTTCGGCAGCAACAATCTGTTCTTCTTGGAGTCTCTTGTTATGCATTAGTTTCCTGAAATGAGGCATATTATCCTGAAGTTACAAATATAGTTGAGAACCATCTTCACAGAAGATCATGTTACACAGGCTTTGCTATTTTTTAGATCCAGTTAGTCATTAGGAAAATAGAAGTATCAATATCCATAGAGGAATGAGATCTTACATAAGCAATGAGGCTAGATTTGTAGGTGTGCATGCTTGAAAGAGAGCCTCAGGGATTATAGCTGAATCTGTGAGAATGTTGGGAAGAGAAATGTAAGGTATCTTTGCTTTATATTGAATGTACCATTCAGTTAGGATATGGGCTCGATAGGCAACAACACATGGTAAGCGTGCAAGCTGCAACTCCATCGCCACTGTTCCTGAAGTACACAATGCAATCCTGCTGGCCTGCAAGACATTCAATTCAGTTC